AACAATCCGGGTCTTCATTTTACCCACCTCGGAAGGATGGAAGGCTGAGTCAACCCTGAGCTGGTGAGATTTGAACAGCCGAACTGCAGAACTGCAGTCAGCTGAAGTAGCCTGCAGTGCTGCATTTAACCACTGCAGCCACCTCAGGACCCTTTTCCTCCTTGCCCCCTCCCAACATCTGCTCTGATGGCAATTATGACTAAAAAAAATTCAAGTGCTCAGGCATGAAAATGTGCCACTCGAACACTATACTTTTCCACACACACTGAAAAACAATTAGAGGGAACATTGGTGTGGGCTGGAATTCCCGGCGGACTACCAGACAGGAGAATGCGTGCTGCCAAGATATGTGCTGGGGAGGGCCATCAATCTCTGTTTCAGTGTGCGCCCGACCTAAAGTCTCCCTCAGATTGGACTCCACCCGTTTCCCCACAAGTTGTTCTGGAGCTGAGGGCTAGGCCCCAGACCTCGCAGTCCCCCTACTCTTCTTGGGACAAACTGTGGCCAGGTGTCCAAGATCCCCACAATAGAAGCACAACCCCCCCTGTGCCCCATCTGTCCATCTCAGTTCACGACAAGCGGGGTTTGGCAGCATCCAAATCCATGGGGTCCTCCCATGGAGCTAGGGTCTCCTGCGGGATCAGCACCCCACTGGTCTCCTGGGACGCGCGGTGAGGCCCCTGCCTCTGCAACCCGGGTGTCTATCCAGAGGCACAGGTGGATCAGCGCGTTGAACGTCGGTGGCCTGTCCACCCGCACCAGCTCATCCTGCAGGTCGTCCGACAGCCCATCTTGGAATGTGTCCATGAGGGTTGCCTCATTCCAGGCCGAATCTTTACCTCATCTGAAATCTATCCAATAATAATATATCTTTATATTGTATTCTGTATCATTCTATTATTCTTGCATTATAAAATTCTCTAGTGTCTTTCATTTCCATGTTTTTTAATCTAACCACTGATAAAATAAATCCCATATCTTGTAAAATTGTTTATCTTCTTGTTCTCTAATTTCAAATGTCAATNCAGGGTCCTCCACATCTTCCAGAGCCGACTCATAGGGTCCCTCACTATTGGAGTCCATTGGCAGCTCCAAAGGCTCCTGCTGGGCCACAACACTATCCCTCACCACAGGGCCCTTCCCCTGGGTCTGACGCTCAGGGTGTGGCCTCGAGGGATATTGTGCATGGTAGGCCCGCACCAAAGCAGGGGCATGTATGTCCGTTGCATCAGTCCAAGTCCCCCCCGTCCGACCCCTCATCCTTCCAGTCCACCAACTACTGGAAATGTCCCTTTAGCCATCTCGTGTCTCGGATCTGGGCCACTTTGTGCGGTAGCTGCAGCTCTACCTCAGGCGGTGACGGCTGGGGGGGGACGGTTGGCGGAGAGGACAAGCCAACCACTCAGGGATCAGGACCGAGCGGTGGAACACCGGGTGCACTCACATCGAGCGTAGCAGGGTCAGGCGATAGGCCACTGGGTTGATGACGGCCTCCATGGGGAATGGCCCAAGATACCAGTGGTCCAACTTCTTAGCCAGCCGGTGGGATGGAAGATGCCGCATGGACAGCCACACACGATTTCCCACAGCCAACTCCGGCACTGCACGCCAAGACCTATCTGCCACGCTCTTGTAGTCCTCCTTCGCTTGATTCAAATAGCGGCACACCACTTGGTGGGCTGCCTGGAGCTCTGAGAGGAAGTCACGCGCTGCGGGGACCCGGGAGTCAACTGGGGTAAGAGGGAAAAGCGAGGGTGATACCGGACGTTAGCCAAGAAGGGCGTCATCCATGTGGAGGTATGCTGCCAGCTGTTAAATGCAAACTCCGCCACGGCCAGGTACTCCGCCCAGTTGTTCTGCTGCTGATTCACGAAGCAGCACAGGTACTGTTCCAAGATCCCAATCACCTTCTCCGTCCCCCTGTTGGTCTCGGGATGGTGCGCCGAGGACAAACAAACCTGAACGTCTATAGCCTCCATCAGCCCTTTCCAGAACTGGGCTGTGACTTGCGTCCCACGGTCTGACACGACCCAGTCGGGTAGGCCGCACAGCCGGAAGACGTGCTGGATGAACATGCAGGTGGTGGCGCGGGCTATTTCTCCGACAGGAGACGAAATGTGCCATTTTGGTGAGCATGTCCACCAACACGAGGACCATGGTAAATCCCGAAGACGGAGGCAGTTCCGTCAGAAAGTCCATGGACACGGCTCCCCAGGGTCTGTCCGGGGTCGGCAATGCTGAAGCAGGCCTGGAGGAGCTCCTGTAACTTACTTGGCCTGCCGACACTGTACACACGAAGTGATGTACATCTGTACGTTGTGTCATAAGCGGGGCCACCAGAAAGTACGTGAGACCAGGTTCAATGTCTTGAAAAGGCCAAAATGTCCCGCCGCCGGATTGTCATGACACTGGGAGAGAATAAGTCCATGGAGGGGCCCCTGCGGGCGCATAGGGCCGGTCCCAGTAGCTCAAGAGGTCATCGTCGAAGGTCCACGGGGAAGCCGGCCCTAACTCTGCCCTCCATTGCTCCACCCACTCGTCGCACTGCTGCACATCCCGTATCTGAGACCGTAAGTCCACAGGCTCGTGAACTGCAGTGAAGGATTCGACAGGCAAAACTGTCCGGGGTGGAAGCGAGTCTGCAGTGTCAGAGTACTCCGGTTTCCAGGACAGGGCATCCGCTCTTTGGTTTTGCACACTTGGAATGTAGGTCACTCTGAAGTTGAACCGGGCAAAGAACAGAGACCACTGGATCTGGCGCTGGTTCAACTTGTGCGTCATTGTCAGGAACTCTAGATTGCTATGGTCCGTCCGGACCTCGACTTGCTGCCTGGCCCCCTCCAGGTGATGCCTCCAGGTGATGCCTCCAGGCCTCAAACGTCACCTTGATAGCAAGCATCTCCTTATCCCAGATGGTGTAATTGCGCTCGGAAGGATTGAGTTTCCGCGAGTAATAAGCGCAAGGGAAAAGGGTACCGCCAGGGGCGTGAGCCTGCAGTAACACCGCGCCCACCGCGATGTCAGACGCGTCCGCCTCCATCACAAACGGACGATGGGGATCAGGGTGCTTCAGGATCGGCTCCTTCGTGAAGGCATGCTTCAGGGCCACGAATGCCTGTTGCTCCATGGGCCCCCAGCGAAACGGCACTTTCTTCTGCAGGAGCCGAGTGAGGGGCGCGGTCAGAAAAGCAAAGCTGGGGATGAAGGTCCTGTAATAGTTGGCAAACCCAAGGAGTCTCTGAACATCCTTCACACGCCGAGGAGGTTGCCAACTGCACAACACCTCTACCTTGCCCGGCTCCATCGCAATTCCTTCAGGGGAGATACAGTGCCCCAGGAACTCGATGGTAGTCTGCCAGAACTGACACTTCTCCAGCTTTGCGTACAAACGATGCTCCCGGAGTCGTTGCAGGACCAGGCATAGATGTTGCTGATGATCCTTCCAAGACGTCGAGTAGATCAAGATGTCGTCCAAGTAAATGATGACAAACTGATCCAAGAGGTCCCGGAAGATATCGTTCATGAAGTGCTGGAAGACTGCTGAGGCATTGGTGAAAGCAAACGGCATGATCGTGTACTCGAAATGTCTGTACCGGGTGCCGAAGGCCGTCTTCCACTCGTCCCCTGCCCAGACCAGATTATAAGCACCATGCAAGTCCAATTTCGTGAACACCGTCGCCTCCTGGAGCCGCTCCAACAACTCAGGAATCAGGGGCAGCAGGTAACGGTTGCGCACTGTGATGGCATTCAGGCGACGGTAATCCCAACAGAGTCTCAGATCCCCGGTCTTCTTTTTTGACGAACAAGACCGGGGCAGACAGTGGCGGAGACGAGGGCCGGATAAAACCCCGGGTGAGGTTCGGACATGGAGTACAGGTGACCCACAGGGAGCTTCGCATCTGGTACCAAGTCAACGGGGCAGTCATAAGGCCGGTGCGGCGGCATTTGGTCCACCTCCTGCTCACTGCAGACGTCCGTGAACTCCGCTTAATCTGGCAGCACGGCCACCCTGGGCGAGCTGAGCACCTGGCCTGCGCAGACGTGACAGGTGTGGTCGACACATTGCAGGGACGGGAATGTGACCAGGTTCTGAGACCAATAAATCTGAGGGTCGTACACCCACAGCCAAGCCAAGCCCAGGACCATGGGGAAATGCAGGCCCGAAGCAACGTAAAATTGGATGGCCTCCTCATGCTCCCCGAGGACCAGGCGCAAGGGCTGCATGGCGGCCTTGATAGTCCCAGACATAAGCACCCATCCGTCAATGGTCTTGACCCGCATCGGTGGGTCCACCAGACACAGAAGGAAATCGTACTTGGTAGCAAATGCCACGTCCATAAAGTTCGTGGTAGCCCAGGAATCGACCAAGGCATGGGCCGGAATTCCTTGACTACCCGACAAGAGTATGCGTGCTGCCAAGATCATGTGCCGGGGAGGGTCGTCCATCTCTGTTTCAGTATGCGCCCGACCTAAAGTCTCCCTCAGATCGGGCTCCGCCCGTTTCCCAACACGTTGTTCTGTAGCCGAGGGGAGGCCTCAGACCTCGCAGCCCCCCAACTCTTTTTGGGGAAAACCAAGGCCAGGTGTCCAGGATCCCCGCAGTAGAAACACAACCCCCCTGCGCGCCATCTTTCCATCTCAGATCGCCACAAGCGGAGTTTGGCGGCGCCCAACTCCATGGGCTCCTCCCGTGAAGCTAGGGTCTCCTGGGGGATCAACACCCTACTGGTCTCCTGGGACGTGCGGCGAGTCCCCCGCCTCTGCAACTGGGCGTCTATTCGGAGGCACAGGTGGATCAACACATTGAACGTCAGTGGCCTGTCCACTCGCACCAGTTCATCCTGCAGGTCATCCAACAGCCCGTCCTGAAAGGTGTCCATGAGGGCTGCCTCATTCCAGGCCAAATGTTGACTAAGAAGGGAGAGAGAGAGAGAGAGAGAGAGAGAGAGAGAGAG